TCTGCAAACCGCATTGCGGGCGGTTGCGGGTTGACTTTTCCCCAAACCGCATAGATGCGGGCGGGTCCAAACCGAACCGCAAACCGTCCCAAACCGAACCGCGGACACCCCTACTAATTAGTGCTCCCAAGCATTTTTCAGAAACAAAAGTCCCACCATAGATTTCAGACGCATGTACATTTCCGTACATGTTACAGCACCTGCAAGCACCTGGTACATGACCAATTAAGTTGATGGTGATGGTCCATAAATGTATTGTCGTAGATTTACAAATGTGTGAGATTAGAAATTTTAAATAATTTATTAAATTTTTTATTAAATTTTTATATAAATATAAGATTCACGCATGTAAATTTTTATGAATCTCGTATCTATGTGAAAGATTTAATAAAAAATTTAATAAATTATTTAAAATTTATAATATTTTTCTTATAAAAATTCACTCGATCTCTCTCCTTTACAAGGAAACACTAATAGCATATGTATGAGTGATTTTTCGATCATACTGCCAACTCAATAATCAGTTGGAGAAAACTGACAGAATAGATGACACCTGGCTGACCTGCAACAGAAAGAGAAGATTCCAACAGTGGTCCGTCCACTCGGGGGCACTTCGACGATCAAGTCAGTATATCTCTCAAAGATAATCAATAGTATTAAACTCACTGTTCAGAATATAAATTGCGTACCTTAAACTCATTGGGGGTGCCTTTTTTTCATAGTTACCTCAATCCTAGTCCCCATAGAAGCCTAGTTTTAATAGACTTCTGCTTAATGTTTATCCTAGACTGCTTAACTGAGATAACCTCGGCTTCATAACCTAGACACGTGGCACCTCGGCTGACACGTCAGCGTCACCTTGGCTACGTGTTGGGACTCAGAAAATATATCCCCACAACTGCCCCTGGTTTTTTTACCTCGGCATTCTGAGGTGATGGGAACTTAATCGTATCGCCTTAAGCCGAGCTCATCACTATAGGTCGACATCTCTTCTTAAAGATCAAGAATTCCAAGAGCTTCTTCGCGCGTATGAGCTGTCATGCATCACAAATCACCCGTTTCAGCCACGTGTCCTTCTATTACTGGATCGTACTTAGTACGCGCTTCTAAATCGTCTCGCGTATGCGTGCGCCGTCTGACGCTCAAGTTGTTTTAGGTGCATTAATTCTGTTTTGCCGTTGTTTCAAGTTTTAACAAAACTTTTTCCCCCTTTTCTTATTTCCTTACTTTCGTATCCTCAAGCTCTCAACTCTCTCTAGCTTTCTGAGTACGCCATTATTCAAGCTTCCATAACTCTGCAACTTGCTCCGTTTATCCCTTCCGGCATGATTTTCACCGATTTTCCACCTTCGCAACCGTCGTCAGACTTCGGCAATCCCCATTCCGGCTTCCCTCTTTCTGGTAAGCCACTATTCCTCCTGATTTCAGTTTCTTGTTACCTTACTGAACTTTACTGTTTTACCTACTGTCTTTGCAATCTTGTTCACATTTTTTATATTTTATCTTACATCTTGTATTCCACCATATATTTGAACACGTTTTGTCCTACTTTCAGCGATGAAATTTACATTTTTGGTCGCCAAAACAGCTTTTTGTTGTAGTGCCTGTAATTATCAAAATAATTATCAGTTTTTCTTTGCATAGGATGTGGAAACTCACAACCCTACTAGCTACATGGCTTATGCTATGTTTGGTTTTGATTAAATTTTTTTTTTTTGTTTATTTTTAGCTAAAGGAGATAAATTTTGTTTAAAAAGTAATTTTTTTTTTCACAATTGTTAGCTAAAAAATTCTTAGCCAATCAAGACTTTAAAAATAAAAAATTGATTCACTCTCTTTGGTTTCAGTTTTCAGAATTTACTTTTCAAAAAATTCTACTTTTTCATTTTTTGTATTTTTTTTAATTTTCACTGATTTTTTTAATATTTAAGCAATTTTTTTTAAAAATTTTTAAACACACCTAACATAAATACACTTAAAAAATATAATATTTGTGAAAAAAATCTTAAAAAAATTCACTAAATACCAAAAATACAAAAAAAAAAAATTCAGTACTTTTTTTTTTATATTTTTGTGTATTTATTAATTTTTTAAAATACTTTTTTACAAATATTTTGTTTTTAAGATACATCTAAGTAAAGTGCATCTAAAAAAAAATTACTTTAAATTTAAAAAATATTCACTAAAAATAAAAAAAATACGAAAAACAAAAAAAAC